CCCTCCCAGTATTCCCAGTATCCCCAGTTACCCTCCCAGTATTCCCAGTATCCCCAGTTACCCTCCCAGTATTCCCAGTATCCCCAGTTACCCTCCCAGTATTCCCAGTATCCCCAGTTACCCTCCCAGTATTCCCAGTATCCCCAGTTACCCTCCCAGTATTCCCAGTATCCCCAGTTACCCTCATGCCGGTGCGGCTCCACCGTCACTTTTTTCCCGCCTTTGAATCCTCCTCTGGCTCCGCCCCCTCGGCCTCGGCCCCGCCCCCGGGGGCCGCCTCTGGCTCCGCCCCCTCCTCTGGCTCCGCCCCCTCTGGCCACGCCCCCTCCTCTGGCCACGCCCCCTCCGCGGGGCGAGAAACCGGAACCTGCGGGAGGGAAACTGGGGTTACTGGGGATACTGGGAGAGACTGGGAGAGGTTACTGGGGATACTGGGAGAGACTGGGAGGGGTTACTGGGGATACTGGGGATACTGGGAGGGGTTACTGGGGATACTGGGAGGACACTGGGGCTCCCAGTGCAGGCAGCAGGGGATTCCTGCGGGTTACTGGTCTGTACTGGTTTGTACTGGTCTGTACTGGTTTGCACTGGGACTCACCTCGGCCCCGGAAGCCGCCACGTCCCCCTCGGGGGCTGAAACCTGCGGGGAACTGGTCAGACTGGGAGCTACTGGGAGCCTCCCAGTGCTCCCAGTTTGGCTCCTCCACCTCCCCCAGTTCCCTCCCAGTAACCCCCAGTAACCCCCAGTTCCCTCCCAGTTCATCCCAGTCCATCCCACTCTATCCCAGTTCATCCCAGTCCATCCCAGTCCCTCCCAGTCCATCCCAGTCCCTCCCAGTTCATCCCAGTCCATCCCAGTCCCTCCCAGTCCATCCCACTCCATCCCAGTTCATCCCAGTCCCTCCCAGTCCCTCCCAGTTCCCTCCCAGTCCATCCCAGTCCCTCCCAGTCCATCCCATTCCATCCCAGTCCCTCCCAGTCCATCCCAGTCCATCCCAGTCCATCCCAGTCCATCCCAGTCCATCCCAGTCCCTCCAAGTCCATCCCAGTTCATCCCAGTCCATCCCAGTTCCCTCCCAGTCCATCCCAGTCCATCCCAGTTCATCCCAGTTCATCCCAATCCTCTCCCAGTTCTCTGCCAGTGCTCCAAGTCCCCCCCAGTTCAATCCCAATCCATCCCAGTTCATCCCAGTCCATGCCAGTCCCTCCCAGTCCATCCCAGTCCCTCCCAGTCCATCCCAGTTCATCCCAGTCCATGCCAGTCCCTCCCAGTCCCTCCCAGTCCCTCCCAGTCCCTCCCAGTCCATCCCAGTTCATCCCAGTTCATCCCAGTTCTCACCCGGCCTCATCGCGCCGCTTTCTCCACGCGGGGCTCGCGCGCCTCTGCCGGAACAGGAAGTGACGTCACAACCCCGCGTCCACGCACGCCACGCTCGGGCCCCGCCCACTCCCTGCAGGACGCGTCCTCAGAGCGCCCCAAGGAGGCTCCGCAGCGGATTTCGGGGTAAAAACCGGGGATTTTGGGGTAAAACCGGGGATTTCGGGGTAAAAACCGGGGAATTTGGGGTAAAACCGGGTGTTTTGGGGTAAAAAACGGGGATTTTGGGGTCTCGAACTGGATATTTTTGGTGCCTGGGGGAGTTTTGGCGTCATTTCGGGGCAATTCCGGCGGACTCCGGGGCGCTGGCGGCTCCGTTTCGCCGCCATTTTTCCTCCGGGAGAGACGCTCTCTCCCGAACCCGCCTCTCTGTGCTCCTTAGTGACGTCATTTCCGGCGACTCTCCGGCGCTTCCGGCGTGACTCGTTGGTTCCGGCGAGCGGCGAGCGAGGGTGAAAGTGACTTTGAGAACTGGGATGTACTGGGAGCGACTGGGAGGGACTGGGAGGGAACTGGGATGGACTGGGAGGGAACTGGGAGCACTGGGAGGGGAACTGGGGGGAACTGGGAGCACTGGGAGGGGAACTGGGAGCACTGGGAAGGTCGGGAAGGGCGCTGAGGGCGGGTTAGGACTGACTGGGAGGAACTGGGGGGTTACTGGGAGGAACTGGGATGGACTGGGAGGGGACTGGGGGTTACTGGGAGGGACTGGGGGGCTACTGGTTTGAACTGGGATGGACTGGGAGGGGACTGGGGGTTACTGGGAGGGACTGGGGGGCTACTGGTTTGAACTGGGATGGACTGGGAGGGGACTGGGGGTTACTGGGAGGGACTGGGGGGCTACTGGTTTGAACTGGGATGGACTGGGAGGGGACTGGGGGTTACTGGGAGGGACTGGGGGGCTACTGGTTTGAACTGGGATGGACTGGGAGGGGACTGGGGGTTACTGGGAGGGACTGGGGGGCTACTGGTTTGAACTGGGATGGACTGGGAGGGGACTGGGGGTTACTGGGAGGGACTGGGGGGCTACTGGTTTGAACTGGGATGGACTGGGAGGGGACTGGGGGGCACTGGGAGGAACTGGGGGGCTACTGGTTTGAACTGGTTTGAACTGGGAGGGGACTGGGGGGGACTGGTTTGAACTGGGAGGGGATACTGGGATGGGTCTGGACCTTACTGGTTTGAACTGGTCTGAACCACTTTGAACCAGTGTGAACTGGTTTATACTGGTTTGAACTGGTTTGGACTAGTTTGGACTGGTTTGGACTGGTTTGAACTGGTTTGGACTGGTTTGAACTGGTTTGAAGCGGTTTGAACCGGTTTGGACTGGTTTGGACTGGTTTGAACTGGTTTATACTGGTTTGAACTGGTCCATACTGGTTTGAACCGGTTCGAATTAACCCGGTTCCCCCCGGCAGCGCTAATTAATTATTTAGTTCCCAAATTAACAAGGAGCCGAGTGGCTGATTGATGGAGCTTCAATTGACTTAATTAATGAGTTAAATTAATTAGTCCAAGGCTTGCTAATTGTCCCAGTCAATTAATCCCGTAATTAATACTTAATTACTTAATTAATTAATGCTTAATTGCTCCTTAATTGGTTTCTATTGATGCTTTGTTGTCTCTTCATCCCAGGCCGGGATTAATTAGCCACTAATTAACCCATCTTAATTAGACTTTTTGAGCTTTAATTAGCTAACACAGCGTTAATTAGCATCATTAATTAGCATCCAACGTTGATTTTTGTTGCCTTTGCCCTCATTTGGGTTAATTAAGGTTTTAATTAGTCCTTTGGAGCGCTAGTTAATTAGCGGGGTGCTAATTAGCCTGATTAATTACCCTCCATGTCAGTCATTGTCGTGCCAGGGCAGGATTCGTTAATTGTTTAATTAATGATCAATTCCTGGAGGTTCTGATTAACGCTGTTGGTTGCTAATTAATTAAATTAAGCGCTAATTAATATGCTGATTGGCTAATTAGGTGCTCATTAACAGTCTTAACGAGCTAATTTGTTCTTAATTGGTTTTAGGTTCATTTTTCATTCCAATTTTGTATTAATTAGCTCATTAACTAATTAATTGTTTACAAATCTTTATTAATTAATACCACAGTTCATTAGGTAATTTAGCTGATAACAAATTAATGAGGTGCTCATTAGCATAATTAATGATTTTTTAATGTTAATTTTTGCCAGGTTCAGGCTCATTTTTAATTGCAGAAGAGAACTAATTAATAGTTTAATGAACTAATTAATAGACTAGATTAATAATTAACTAACCAGCTGATAATGAGTTGCCTGGTTAGTTAATTAGCAGCTAATTACCCTAATTAACAACTTCAGAAAGGAGCGGCCTCCAAATCTTCATTTCTCCCCCTTTTTTTGGGTAATTAACGACCCCTGAGCCCAATTAACGAGCTCAGGCACGTAATTAACCCCTGGTGGGGGAGGGCTGAGTGTCCCAGGTGCTAATTAAGCTCTCTAATTATGTTAATTGGGTTAATTAGCATGGTTGATGACATTGGGGCAGGCTGGGGTGCTAATTAAGCTCTGTAATTAGGTTAATTAGCGTGGCTGATGACATTGAGGCTAGGTTGGGGTGCTGATTTAGGTCTCTAATTATGTTAATTAGGTTAATTAGCGTGGCTGAGGACATCCAGGCCAGGCTGGGGTGCTGATTTAGGTCTGTAATTATGTTAATTAGGTTAATTAGCATGGCTGAGGACATCAAGTCGAAGCTGGCTCGTTACAAGACCGCGCCCTTCGACAGTCGCTTCCCCAACCAGAACCAGACCCGGAACTGCTGGCAGAACTACCTGGGTACGGCACACCTGGGGACATTGGGGACATTGGGGACACCTGGGGACATCTGGGGACATTGGGGACACACGGGGACACCTGGGGACATCTGGGGACATTGGGGACACACGGGGACACCTGGGGACACACGGGGACACCTGGGGACACCTGGGGACACCTGGGGACACACCTGGGGACATTGGGGAC